GTCTCTAAAATTACAAACGTGTTGTTCAGCTGGGATGTGTCGAACCCAGCATGGATTTGGAATGAGCAGCTCGGCGCTCAGAGTTAACAGGTCGACGAGGGGAAATTGCTGCTGAATGTTTAAATGATGTTTCCGAGCTGCAATGCAAACGAATTCTATGCGCTGTGTATTAAAACGCAGGCGCTCAAGGTGTTTAAGCAGAAAGTATGCAACCGGCACATGCACATGTTTGCAGCCGAGATTAGCCTGCTGGCACGGAAACGATTTTTGCATCCATGCTATGCAAACGAGGTGCATGTGTGTGGTTTAGAAAGTTTGCTTGCAATCTCCGCGATGGAAAATGAAGAAGTCTTTTGAGCAAAGCAGATTTGAAGTAAAAAACTAATCAAGTGTGCTGGATGAAAAGTAGTTCCGCAGCGAGTTGATGGAAAATTAATCGTCATATATCAGGAAGGAAAATGTTTGCTATAGCGGGGTGGAATTAATTTACAATATTTTAAAAGCATCAATTGAAACAGGAATTAACGGTTCAGTGGCACTAAACAAAAAGAGCTAATGAAATGTTTGTGTATTGGAAAAAAGGAAAAAATGAACGAGGTATATTTAATCGTGCGTAAAAATTGAAAGGTATATTGAATATTTTTATTAACAGGATCTGTCCTTTTTCCCGTGAATTATTAAAATTTGAACACGCATTGACTAAAAATTTACTCACAAATGTTTCACTTAAACACACAAAAATTAATGTGCAATTGAATTTTGTTAAAAGTGATAGTGTGTTTTTGAAGTATTTGAATGCCTAGTTTAATTTATTTCATCCACAATGTTCACTCATATCATAATGTTGATATGGGCTAACAAAAAGTTAACTATAACAGAAGAATAAGCCTGGTGTATACTATCATTTAATTTACTTGTGATAAAATAAAACAGTGTGAATAGGTATAAGGTTTAAAGAAGCTTGAATAGTATTAACATAACAGTTTTTTATTTTCACAAAATATAAAATGTAAATATATATTTTTTTTTAAATTTCTGTGAATAATTCGTGCGTTCTTAAATAAAATTGCGATAGGAATTTTATGAAATGAAAAATGGCTCAATTTTTTTATAATGTGAGACACTCAAAACATTAATAAAAGCAAACCTTTGAAAATAAATTTTATTTCAACCTGTCTTTTCTTAGAGAATCAAAAATAAATGTGGGATCAGAGATCATTAACCTGCTTCCAGGAACGCAATCAAATGATACTTCCCACTAATTGCGGTGGCCAAGTAAAATCAAAGAAAACGAGGATCGACTTAAAACTTTTGCTGTTTCATTAAGGAGGCGATTAAATTTCATTCACATGCTGAGAGAGCCATTAACAGGAGGCGGTTTTCCTTCCGGGGTGGCACAAGAAGTGCGAAACTGCTCGCACAGACCTTTGCTTGTAAACAAAGTTTCGGGAGGTTTTATTAGCCGTGTCGTCTAATCGGCCGCAAATTCTAGTCATGCTGCGCGACGGTGGTAATTACAAACTCGCAAGCAAACTTGGCCACTTTTTACGGCCCTCAAAGTACACAGCACCACTAATTAGGTATCGAAATTTGCTTGAACACAAGTTTCGCGCACGTGTGCCGAGTATGTCTCTCTTCGGCAAGTCGTCGGGTGCTGATGTGTAATTACGTGAAATACGAGCCTGGTGGCTTCCTTTTTGTTCTGACAATTACGGCGCGCGCGCAGCCTACAGGTGAAGGAGCCGTAATGACTTAATGAGCCGCCAAGTATTTCACATAGAGCTCGGCGGGGCTTAAAAATCGACGCCCTCTCTGCGCGCCAAAGTGAGAGCGATTAACACGCGCTTTGAAATTTCGCCCGCCCCACTGCAACTCCACTCTATTTCCAATTATAATGAGCGAGACGCTGAATTGCACACGATGAGCACACCTACCTGCAATTTGCCACGGAGGGTCGCCGGAATGCGCCCCGATCGATTTGCGAATCTGCGACTGCTGCCGCCGCTCGCTCGCTCTTGGGCGAGCGGAACGCCGTGTTCGGGCTCAATTTGCACCGGCGACACCAGATGTTCCCAATAATAATTTTGCAAGCATGTTACACGCAGATGAGAGTTACTTAGCTTTTGGTGACACAAAAAGGGTTAGAGTAATTTTTTTAACAAATTATTTTGTTACGAAGCTAAATTATTTTTTAACAGTCATCTTTGCAATTTAATTATTATAAAAATTTGTCTTCAAGTCAATTATACTAAATAGCACACGATAAATTTATCAGTTTTCAGAATGTGTTAGAAATTTTTTTTTAATGTTATATAATTTTAAGTAAAAAATCCTCTGCAAATTAAAATCAAATAAATACATAAAAATTATTTGGATTAGAATTTGATCTTCAGCGCATTTATATTTTATTAAGTTTTATGATATATCAACATTATTTTTAAATTTCAAAATTATATCCACTTAAATAATTATGTAGTTATGAATAAATTATGCTTATTATCATATCCTAGCTAAAGATAGAAAAAAAAGAAAACTACAGACATGGCCTAAAATTTTAGTTTTTGGTCAGCTAAATAGCTACTTTATTCTTTGCAATAAAGACAAAATAATAGGACCAACTTACTCTTCGTCGATTCTGTAAATCGTGCCCCTTAGGCCGAGAAGTTAAATTTTAGTGGTGCTTTCTTCCACCTTGAAAAGCCGGTATTATTGAAATGTATAAAACGCCAAAATAAATTCTGAGAAACTTTTTGCGAGCAAAAACTCCGGTTTACGAGTGCCTCCTTCGTCAAGAAAATGGCAATTTGCGAGACCAAGAGTTTTTTTATATCACCAGTGGAAAATCGACTTTTTACTTGAGCGGCAAAAGAGCGGCTAAAGTAGTGCAGTACTTTTCTTTTCACTCTCATTTCTCAATTTCGTCAAAGTTAATCAAGTTGTTTTGCCTGTAATTTTACCCACAAAAAGACTGCAATTTTACACTTGAGAAGTTTCGCATTCGCGTATATATGAGGAAACAACTCCTTCTTTCGCAGCCCGCAGGCGAGAGAATACATGGGTCTGCATGAGTATAAGCAGCAGACGAATTTACCCCTAATTTAAACTTTGTTGGTGGACGACCGCCGGCCGAGCATAATACGCAGCGGTTGAGTTCGGCCTCGGTTTCATGGGGTGCTCGCCTAGACACAACACGTATACGAAACGCAATTACCAACCAAACTAAGCTGAAGCTAGAGTATGGGGCTGAGAGTCGATACGACCGCGAGTTTGCAGCCTGCAGAAATTAATCCGGACGGTGCATAAAATTAATTCGCTTATATTCATGCAGCCGGTGAATAATTCAGACAGAGAGACGACGAAGAGGGTTGGTCCGAATATCGTGGAACTAATTTTGTGCAGCCGAGTTTGAATGAAGTTGAAATGTAAAATACAAATGATATGGTAAATGTCACTTATATTTAATTTGAAAATGAAATTCTTACCTTCACTTTTTTAATTAAAATATTGGAAGAAAATGTAATTTCTTTCCGCCTTATATTATTGTGATATTATTATCATTGATTATAATATAAAATGTTTTAGATTGATGATTTTGTATTTTCTGCTATTTTCTTTGATCCCTTCAAAGCTGCCACCATGTCGCACCATGTCTAGCAGAACCGTAGGATTGCATACTCTGCAAATCGGCATAACTATAAAAAAATATGTTTTCTTTCTAGAACTCATGATATGCCCTTGACCAGAATACAGCCCTTTTGCAAGATTGTGTGTTGCCTCGCCACCGGGGACAAGCCAGGCATCCGCCGCGTGCCAAAGACATGGCCGGCCGGAAAGGTAGAAACCGGCCGAGTCAGATTTCTCCGCACCTCCCAGCGGTTTGAATGTCCACTCGGATTCCAAGATTCTTTCCTTCCGAAAAGCAATCTTTGATTCTAAACCTTCGCCACTGATCTAGCAATATTATAAAAATTTAAACTGAAATTTTTATGGTTGATTTTCTGGTTTTTAATAAAAACATAAAAAAAATTAAAAAAAAAAAATGGCAAGAAATTGATAAACGAACTAAGGTAACTTTTCATTGTAGTTTTCAGGGAATCATTATTATTGTTTATTTGTCCATATTGTTACAAATTTTAGATATATTTCTTATTGTTTGTAATGGCAAATGCAACTTGTGTTATAAGAAATCGTTAATTTTTTACGTTGTGAATTGACGAACGGTTCTACGAATCGAATATTGATTTGTAGGAAAAAATTATCCTGTGAGAGATGGTAATTTTTTTTATAAAAAAATGAAGCTACATTCCATTGTGAATTAATTCTCCTACAAATTTAATCTTTTTTTCTTTGACTTGGAGAAATTCTAAAAGTCGATTTTAGAAAGAGAAAACCGTGCAAATACTTGAATTTTAACAAAAATGGTTTGTTTCACGGTTTAATAAATTAGCATCATTGATTGAAATCGGTTTATTTTGTTAATTATAAACTTGACCACAGAATTGTACACATACAAGAATCACTGTGGATATAACCGTGCATACATTGGGACCCACCCTGTGAGAGAGACGCGACTTTGTCGGGTGCATGTCGGGCAGGATGTATTCTGATTAAATATCAAAGTTGCATGAGCTGGGCGCGCGTGTGTGTATGTAGTGTCGGCGCCGGTGGCGCAGGCACCTCTCCGCAGGGACCGGCTGCACGATGGAACTTTTGTTGGTCAAGGAAGCCGAGAGTGAAATTTTAATTGCGCCTGCCTGCATCGGGGGGAGCAGAAGCAGCAGACCTGCGACGACACATAATGCATTATTTCAAAAAGCTGCTGCAGAGGTTGTGGCGACGACGATGATGTGCGTCTTATAAAAAATACAGAGCGCAATTTTGCAAAGGAGAGAGAGAGAGCGAGAGAGGAAAGCAGAGCTGGGCGTGCGCACTTGCAGGGCGTTTGATCATTACTGGCGCGGCGCGGCACCCTTTGTGGTCGGGGCAGCAGTCGGCGAGCGAGCGAGCGGCGAACGGGGGTGCGAAACGCGATGGTGGTGCAACGTGCGTGCAGCCTCCTCCGTCCGGGACTGTGTCGCCGCGGTGTTTAGGTTCGCGATTTCGCATGATGCGGTGGTGGACTGTGTTGGTGGTGCTGGGGGTGGCGGGGGCCGACGTGGACCCGTTTGTTGAGCCCAAGCACTCGACCCTCAGCACGCGCACCGTGCGAACTAAGTACGGCGACGTGCGTGGCGTTGTGTGGGAGCTTGACGGGCGCCACCTGGGCCCTGTTGAGGTCTTCCGCGGCATTCCGTACGCGTCGCCGCCGGTTGGAAATCTCAGGTTCATGCCGCCCGTCAACGGCGCCCAGTGGAAAGGGACCAAAATGGCAGACCGCTTCAGTCCCGTGTGTCCGCAGCGGCTGCCGGACATCGCCGACGAGCAGGAGGCGCTCCGCAGAATGCCCAAGGGACGCTACGAGTACCTCCGCAGGCTGCTCACCTACCTGCAGGACCAGAGCGAAGACTGCCTCTACCTTAATATTTACGCACCCGCCCATTGTAAGTTACATTTTATTTTGTAGAAAAATTAATATAAACAAAACTTAAATTTTACTTATCAGGAATAAATTTTTTGCTTTAGGGGTGGAATTAATTTGCGAAATTTTAAAAGCAGCATTCGGAACAAGAATTAAAGGTTCAGTGACACAAACAAACAGAGCTAATGAAATGTTTGTGTATTGAAAAAAAATGAACAAGGTATATTTAATCGTGCTTAAAAATTGAAAGGTCTATTGAATATATTTATTAACAGGTCCTTTTTTCCGTGAATTGTTAAAATTTGAATACAAAGTGACTAAAAATTTACTCACAAATGTTTCACTTTAAATTGACGCTACGAGTACCTCTGCAGGACCAGAGCAAAGACTGCCTCTACCTATTATTTACTTATTGCGCATTGTAAAAAATTTCATTTTATTTTGTAAAAATATTTAATATAAACAAAACTTCGAAATGTATTTATCAACATAAAATTGCTGATAAAAAACAACGGGTTTGTCCTTGATGTAAAAATTAAAAAGCTGCTTGTTTTAGTTTTAATTTTAAAAACAAGACGCTCCCCACTTTTATAGTCTGTAACCCTTTTTAATGACCAAGTAAAAATATCTAAAGATTATTATAATTTAATTCCTAAAATAAAATTAAAAAAAATAAGGACGAGCCGGTTTTTCTCTTCATGAACAGTTTTTTTTAATTAAATTAAATGATCATGCTGGATTGCATTTTTTCTTTACAACTATAAAATTTAAATAGGGAAAATTGTTATCCTCCCTGGCTTGCTATATTTATTTATATCATGGCTATTAAACCGGGATAACTCTATCTCAAACCTTAAAATATAAATGAACACCTCAGAGATTCTATTATGATGATCAAGAAAAATTTTATTCTGTATTTCCTCTTTCAATAAATGAGAATCGTTATTTAACTTTTTTCAAAAATACTTGAATAAAGAATTTGTCTTGAGGAGTTCATGGAGTGAAAAGAAAACGAGCTTTGTCGTGGCTAATTATTTTTAAGAAAACAATCGGCTCTATCAGTTTTGGTCACTGTCTGCGATCCTATTTAATGAGCAATAGAATTATATAAATTCAATCGACAAAATTGTATATTAACCAATTTTTTTTTTTTAAATAGAGCTGTTTTTAAAATTATAAACAAATATTCAACGATTACAAAGCCCGTTTTCTTCACTCCTATAATAAAATTTATCTGGGTTAAACAGGATATTTTGACTTCGGTCATCTATAAATTTTGATATTATCAAATAGTAAATTTTGAATAGCTTGGGTAAAATACTGAACACAACCATAAAAAAATTTTATTTCAAAAAAACTCTTTTCAATAAAAATTTTCTATTTAATTAATGCTGGTGAAATTGAGCAAACAATTTATTCAAATTAAAAAATATGAGCTACACAAAGTGTAACTTATGCATGTCATGTCGAGTCTGTCGCCCACCCTTGAGCGTGGACCTTTTTACAGTGTAAATATTTTTGCCTCGCATCTTTTGCGTTTGTCGCGATTGACGTCATTAGTTCACAATGTCAAAAATTTAATTTTCTACCGTTTGATGTCCAAATTAATTACAATGAGAAAAAGCTCCGTCATCATTTTCTCCCTCTCAACAACCACTCTAAATTTTAATTGAAAAATTCAATAGACCCTTTTGTATAAGTTTCAACTAAGCCACTCAAACGACTTAATTTACTTTGCATTAGACCGGTGCCTCAAGAGTCTTTCCTGCACACACCCTTTATATATTCCATTGAGATTTATATCGCCATTCTTTGCGTCTTTTTTATCGAGCCATAACTCCATGTGTTAATTATCATCCAGCTCGTTCTATTTATAGAGATGACGGCCACAAATTTCTCCCAATCCTCACCTCTCTCTCTCTCTCCACCCACCCACGGACCCTCCCTTTCGGATCGATTGATACCGATAGCCAAGCAAAATCGCGCGCGCTGCTGTGACTAAGATAGACGACGTTCGTTTGTTGCAGCCGATAAAGAGTCCCCTATTCATTTTTTGTCGCACCGCAGAGCTGGCACTGAATTTAATGTCTCTTTTCGCTCGTTTGTCTCACTCGGTTTTTTCCCGAAACATAAATTACACCTTGCGGTGTACACGCCGCTGCTTCTCTGTCGTGTGTGTGTGTGTGGCCGCGCAGCAGCTAGGGGATGACTAATTGGTCATTGATCCGGCGGCCGAGAGTAAAAGAGAGACACCCACTGGAAAATTGCGCAATTCGAGAGAGATAGAGTTGGACTTCTGGGCTCGAATCTGCCTCGCCGCGGATCAATACCATAGACAAACAGACAATGCTCGCCTGCAAATGTGGGTTATCTAATGGAACGGCGCGCGGGAGGGCGGGCGGCGTGTCCTCGAGCAGAGCACCACGAGTGACACGAGCCAAACGTCTTGCACGCCCGAGGCGAGTCTCTCAGCGGCCAGAAGCGGCCCCATTTGCACGCTGCTCCACTCATCGCCACCCGAAGATCACCATCTCCCCCTTTTGGTTTTAAGAATGAAAAATTACGCCCAGATAAGAACGCACCTGCTGAGATGGCAGAATAATTATGTGGCTTAGAGCCTTTTTTTTATTCAGATTTCAGGAGAGATTTTTTGTTGTAAGCATTTTTTTTATCAAACATTTCAACAAAGTCACCTTAAAACTTTTATCAGGTTTTTAATATTCTAATTTTTTTATAGGAAATATTTGTTTAGTTATTATTTATACTATACTGACTATCAATTATTTTTGTTTTATTTTTCCACGTGATTTTACATTTATTTATTAAAGAAAACAATTTGCTTGAATGATCTTTCAACTTTGAGAAAAAATTACTTGTTCAATTGATCATAAATTTTCTTTTAATTTCGTGTAACATATTTTTCCTATAATCGTAGCAGAGCAATGACTTTTTTTCATTCACCCCAGCTATCAATATTGCATCATTCTTATTAAAAATTGACAAGATTAAAAATCGTTTAAATTTTCTAAAATAAAAATAAAACTTTCTTGGTTCCTTTGAGACTATCATTTTTCTTGCGAAGATTTCTCAATTTTTTGTACTATTGTGCAATTAATTTGGTAAAAAAAATGAAACTGAAATTGAAGCAGAAAATTTATTGCCTTAAAAATAACTTTCCCATCAATCTCATAATTATATTATTATTGTTGTTGTTTTTGTCCGCAATGTTACAAATAATGCATATTGCTTAGATTCAATCAGATTCAATTTTGTTGAAAATAATTTATTAAAAATAGGAATTTATGGACAAAATGGCATCACCGAAAGCAAAAATTTTGCTTAACTTCCAAGATAAAAAAGACCCCATCCACCGCAGTGAGCCTAATTAAATGTGAGTTGAATTGATCAATAAAAATTTGCCCCAATCTTTATAAAATTACATTAATTATGGAATTTGAACATTTTTAAAGAAATTTATGTGTATAGCAAGATAAAATTTTACTAATTTGCCTTCCGCTTCTTTTCGTTATCAATTTTTAATCAATTTTTTTTCTCATCCTCAGTCATTTTTTTCAAAGGATATAAAAAAGTTAGATCGGCGCGATATTGTACAGGAACCACATCAACACCCTTTGCGCATGAAAAGCTTGGCGTGTGGCGATGGATCAAAAATCAATCAGCCACTTTTATATTTGCTCGGTGCCTGTGCGAGTGTGTATATTTCCAGCGCGCCTTCCTCACCCCTTTCTGCACCGCACACCACTTGTCCGTGCTGAGCTGCTGTGCGCGCTGATGTTGGGGCGGCACAAGTCGAGAGAAATCAAATTAAGGTCACGCGTTTAAACAGCTCCCGTTGGCTGCCTTCGCCGTCGACGCGAGAGAAACTGCAGACGGACGGGTGTTTGAGGAAGAGCTAAAATTTCATCCCTTTGACGGAAAAATCTAATTTTGTATCAGCTCATTTGGCGCCGCGCTTCCTTATTTGCTGCCCGTAAACATTGCAGACTCTAGCGTGTGATTTTTTAATGTAAATGAAAATAAACAAATACCACGGTTTTTTTACAACTTTAACCGTCGAGATGGAAGAGAAACTCGATTTAATCAGCAAACTTCCGCCAAGTGTGCAAATTGAAATTCTTGGAATAGCTTTTATGCGGAGATTTTTCATAAAATTGGCAACACTCGCAGATTTAATAATGCTTGGAAAAAAATTCTTGACCTTTTATAAACTACCACCCAATCAAAAATTTAGCAAAAGCATTTTTTTTTTATCAATTTGTTTGAAAATAACAAAAATATTAAATAGCAACTACATCACAAACCATAAAAAGGTTCGAATGGGTTCAAAGAGTTTGTTATTTCTATACTGAATTTCTTGTTGTATTCGGAATCACAAGAAAATTTAATTTAATGCAACTGAATAAATAAATCAGAATTTTGCATATTATTTATTATTCAAATGAGACTGTGATTTATTTCGGAACGAACGGAATTTTTCAGACCATAAATTTAGAGCTAAACGTGTGTCCCATTCAGCAAAATCGAGGCGTTAATTTTCCAAGTTGGGCGCGTTTTAAAGCGAGCGGAAGATTTCAAAATCCGTACAAAAATGGTGAATCTCCATAAGTGGGCCATTCGCTCGGAACGAGAGCGTCGCTTTTGCAGATAAATCTAATTTTATATAGCCATTCTGCCTAATTTAGCGTGCATTAAACGTTAGCAGTCGTATACTGGCTGCAGAATTTTTCGTCGCGTGGTCTGGCGTGGTTGAGGACCAGAATTAATTTATCTTTGGCTGTTTACTGAGGCACGAAAAATCACGTACACGTGCCGCACACTCGCTGAAAGCAGCGAAATTCCACGGCGCTCTTTGTGCGCCACATTTTAATGTAGCGCATTTTAACGAGCACGCGTGAATAATTAAAAAAAAAAACCTCGAACCCCGTAGAGCGCGAGCGAGCGAGCGAGAGGAGGGAAAGGACCAAAGGAAAAAATCCGTCAGGCGAAAGCAAAAAAGCTGCG